AAATAAAAATGGTAGAAAACACGTTCATTTGCGTACTGGGTCTTTTTTAGCAATAGTTGTTCGAGTCTTGATTTGTTTTAGTTTATAAATGCGTATTGTCTTGACCTTTAGCGTGATAAAACAAATAAAAATGGTAGATAACACGTTCATTTGCGTACTGGGTTTTTTGTGTCATGATTTACTGCATAATTAAATTTGCGTCTTGTGTCTTGGTTTTTAGCTCAATTCAATAAACTTGTTAGAAAAAAACGTTCATTTGTGTAATGAGTTGTTATTCTAGTAAACGCCCGTGCCCTTGTCATGCCTCACTGAATTCCTATGTGTTGTCTAATTAAGCACTAACTATCTCCTATTTAATCCTAACTATTTCACGGGTATATTATTTGCACTCTATTGGCTAGGGTATAATTAACACACAAACTTAGCTTCTTGTAATTAATCTTTCTAATTATTGCATGATAATAGTGTCATCAATCAATGAATGGCGTGAATCATTAGCTAACTTAACGTTTGTTAGAGATTAAATTCAGATTTTCTAGATTCTTCTTCACTAGTTAAATCATAATACAATATCAATTTTGTGCAGTGATAAGCTATGAAATATTTCCTATGTTGGTTGTTTTAAACAATATGTTTGGAGTTAAACCACAAAGTTGAAAATATTATRTAGCCTACAGAATTTGAATAAAAGAAAAGGTGTTGACGTTTGGTCATTTGAAAATTCCAAACTATAAGTATTAAGCAATAAATGACAATGAGTGAACTAAAGACTTTTATATAAGCAACCGGTAATTTTAATAAATTTGTCAAGTAATTACTAAAGTACATAATGCAGTCGAAATAGAAGAAATAGCTTTGGTTTTTTGTTTTGTTTTGTTGTTGTTKTTTKTTTTTTGTTTTTTTGTTGTCGTTTTTTTCACTACTTTTTTAAATGTATACTATAAACCATCCCTTGAGCCAGTCGATTGGAGATAATATAAGATATATTTTGGTAGAGTGCGTAATCGGTGTATTTGAACTCAATGCTTCATTTTACAGAGAGGGTTTGAAACAGTAGAAAGTTTAGGAAATAATAAATGAAGCCGAAAATAAGTTCGAAGTGTTCATTTAAAAGCAAAGACACTAATACGCTGTATCCGCTTCTAGAGATTATTGACACTAAAGTACTAGTCTTGCACCTGTATAAATATTTCTGTTAATAAATGTGTTATGTAATAGCGTAACCAGGAGGCATTACTGAGAGTATCCATCAGTTGTCTGAATTACTGTTGTTGAAATCGTGACTGCAGGCGCTGACTTCTATAATATGCTATATTGACTGACATAAGTATTAACATTTTTGCCAAACGATTCGAGTTTTGTCTCTAGATCTAAAGCCCCGTTTACACTAGCGATTTTTGCGGCGATTTTTGCTGCGATTTTTGTGGCGATTTTAGGAAATATGAAATCTTTTGTCTCATCCTTCAAAAGAGACATTCGTCTAGGAAAATCTTGGTATCCTGAAAAAAACTTTATAAGTAAATTCTTTACCATTATTTATTATGGGCAATATCGCGAAAAAATCGCAGCGAAAATCGCGCCACAAAAATCGCTAGTGTAAACGGCGCTTAACGATTCTAGTCTTGTCTCTACATCTAACTTTTGCAGATGCTGTCTCATCTTTTTGCATGGAAGTTAGTTTTCTACCCCAGAACTTGTTAGTTTGAACACTGAGTTATAATTAGTTGTATAGGTAAAACACTGAACTAGTCTATCTAGTCTTAGTACAAAGTTCCTTTTCACCTGCCTGATGAAACATCTTTTCACGATCCTTCAAGAGATCATCAATCACTATGAATTCATAAAGAAATATCGAAAAAACAAATAATTAAGACTCTAAGCACCGATTGACTCAGTGTGACTTGCCCATTTAAATTTTAAATAAAATAAATATACCGTTATACCAGCAAATTAAAGGTTAAGAAATAGTCTCATTGAACAGAAATACAAATAGCTGTTTGCTGCTCATCGCAGTTATTTCCCTTGATCATGGCTTGACTCCCGACAAGCTTCGGTAAAAAAGGGTTTGATTTGTTTTGTTTTGGATTCAATTCTAATGTCTCAAAGACTTGGTGAAGACTTAGCCTACTATCTTTTTAGAAAAAGATCTCGTAAAAGCCGGTACTTGACTGATTTTCGCTGAACAAAACTCACGTCAGTCATGCTTGCCAGTTTTCTGTAACTGACTGATTGATTCACTATGGAACAAGCACGGTTTTCTAGATTTTAACTCAAATTATCAATCCGCTTTATTGCTCTCAAAAAAATCGTACTGATCAGTAGAACTCTTATTCCGCTTTTTTTTTTTTTTTTTTTTTTTTTTTTTTTTTTTTTTTTTTTTTTTTTTTTTTTTTTTTTTTAAATTTTAGCAAGAGCCAGCGTTTCCTGCAACGACTTATAGGTCCATCCGCCGACTACTAAGAACTAAGCAGCTGTGATTTTCAGCCTTGCTTTCGACAACAAGGATAGTACGTAAACTTCGCCCCTCGAATTTAAACTTGTTAAAATTAAACTTAATGTTTAAACGGGTAACAATATATTGAATTCCCAAACACATTAGCAAATACTTTGCTATACTAATGTTTAGTAATTTCATTTATTGCAAAATAAATATATCTTACACGCTAATCAATATTTCGATATTAATCTTCAATTTAGCCTATTTACATTTTTATTGATATTACGTTTGTTGAATTATTAAACTTCAAATTTTACATGTACACTATTAACCTGAGAATTTTTTTAAACCAGTGCACGACATTCTACAATGTGTTGCTCTTAAAATCTGCTTTAACGCCGTTATTTTGCGAGCACTTTCTTTTCAAACATGAGCTGAGCGAGTTATGGTCCTTAAGTCCTGATAAAATTGTCTCGATATGAAAGCCTTTATTTTCTTTGATCGACGTGGTTTTATTTGGTATGGAAGATGCCGAATATGTCCCATAGATTCCTGAAAATAATTTACTACTAGTCAATGGAACACCGCTCTTTATGTAATCAACTTTCGCTTCAGTTTTTGAAACAACATCTTTCTCCTTCTCAGTATTTTTGAGCTTGATATTCTCTCCATCAGATCTCTTTTTGTTTGCTCTCTTACGCCTGTATTCTCCTTTGCTAAAGTCTTCGTAATTTAAGGGATTGATTGTCCAGAAATGGCCTTTTCCATTAGGGCTTCGACCAACTTTTATAAAGCACTCGTTGAGACTCAAATTATGGCGAATGCTGTTTCTCCATCCAGGTCCTTTGTTCCGGAAGTACGGATAATTGGTAAGAATATAGTTGTAAATGTCGCTAAGAACGAGCTTTTCCTGTGGGGTGCTGAGAATTGCTTTCCCGATCAAGCCAATGTAGGACTGGCTCGGTTTTTCGTCTTCAATGGGATGGTAGCTGAACATACCTGGGATAGAAGCTGAGTGGTGCAGGTAAGGTCCTATGTGCTGGATAACACCTTTTGGGTCAAGTAATGGGACAATTCCATGTTCCTGGCCAAGGTAGCGCTGAGTATAAGCAGGACCAATAACTGATGGGTACAAGTATGGGTAACTGCTGTGTTGTGGAGACTTAAAACAACCAAACGTTGGCGCCGTGGTGGAAATGCCAGACGAGAAAGGGACCTTCTCTGAGCTCGAGCTTGCGCTTGCCACAAGGAATGGCGAAAATGCTGAGCTCTTGTCTCTTGAGCCGGACAATATACTATCAATACTCATGGTTTTACAGCGTCTCTGGCCTCACGATCTTCAATGACAGTCTAACGCTATCAAGTATGACTCGGGCAAAGCCTCTTCCAATGCAGTCTGAAGGTAAATGAGCTGTGGGAGGTCTACTTACAAAGACTTATATTGGTTTAGAAAAAATACGCCCCAAACTATTGGTTCATTGAAATCTAATTGTCATGTCAAACAATGCAGTTTTAAGGTCTTTGTAATCAGCTCATGAAAGAGCGCTATTGTTCAAGCTACTTTTACTCTCGACGATATTATCCTTTAGATACTTGAAGCACTCGTACACTGTTTCCCCCCGCTGTATAAAACCCCGCTGGTCTTTGAGTTTGAAGCTCTAATGCGACTCAATTGGATATTTTTAAGCGTTGCAATTTGGTATGAAGCAGCCTTGTTTATTTGTCTATGACTTCAGTCATTAACTTTACGTTTATTATCTTCAATTATTATCCCACGCCTTCATCGTTACCCATTGTCAATCATGTTTGTACCAAACCCTGATTAATTCAATTTCAAGTCTTTGTGGAGGTAAATCCATCGAGAGTTAAGATTTTAAGAGAGTCCATTGTGATATGTAGAGATGTGGAAAGCTTGGAAACATTAKAGCAATTGGCAAATGTACGATCAGTTTGAGATGAGAGGTTTCGATGGGTTTTTACTTGAACTTGTTTAAGTAGTATGATCTATATACAATAAACAAACCGGGCTAAATCACTTTTAAATTCGACTGAAGAGCACTGGAAAACGTTAATATACAATAGACAACAAGAGACAAAAGAAAAAACAGCTTTCAAAGTGTCCACCCTAGTATTAACAGAATCAAATGGCTTATTGAAATACTAGTAGTCTTTGATAGAAAGATGACAGGAGGTTAACAATAGTAGCTTTGCTTTCAGAGAACAACACGTGAAAAAAATTTGATAAAGCCACCCCCTCCTATTCTCTTACGATCATTTAGTCATTAAACCCGTGTTTATTGTTTATCACAGTAATGACGTGCTAATACCTTGCTATTTAGTGCTAATGGTTCAAACTGAGCGAAGGGCGTGTTCTTCATCAACCTTAAACAAAACAATTAGGTTGTATTTATTGTAATAAATCTATGAACGTTGTAAAGAAAAGAGAATGTTTGGTTTTCAAACAATTTATGAATGAAATGGTCAATAAAGTATATTTAAAAACGTATTTCCGTAATGACTTAGTTGTTTAACTTTGAGTATGATTTCATTGGATTATTTTTGCAAATCAAATGGTCAAGTTTTGTCTATTCAGTACGTGATCTTCAAAAATCAATTTTTAATTTTTTAAATCATTCAATCCAATTCGAGAATATTCATCTAGGCTAAAGAATTTTAAACCTGCGATTAATCGTTTCCAAATTAGGTTCAATGAAAAAGTATTTGTTCTACCAAGACTCAATCAATTCGATTTTCTTTTTCCTCGCTCTCAATCTTCGGGCACAGCAATGAATGACAACTAGCTTTAAAACTGATTTGTTCGCACTTGGTTATAAATAAATAAGGGATTTTCGCCTGCTATTTATATAGACACCTTGTTGTAACTATAGACAAATTATGATTTTAAAATGCCTAGAAGAATAATGCGAAGTAACTTGAAGTGTTTAAAGCAATATAATCACAGTTTTGAAGAACTCGACTTCAAACCACCAAAACGTTTCAGCGTGCAGCAAGATTTTAAGTTGAAAGCGTTTGACTGAATTTTTCAGCGAATTTTTATGAGTAATAACTTTTTAACCCTTTTTTCTTTGATAATTTTGTTAGGGTAAATTATGCCAAGATTCTTAAAATATTTATTTGATTTTTTTTTWTTTTTWWATATTTACATATATAAAGCCAGGTTTTAGGCATTCAACTACGAAGAAGAGTTTGCCTTCTTGTCATTTCACTGCATATTCACCATGTTATATTTTACCATTAATTATTATTACTTATTTATCAAACGATTATAGAGTTGGTCATGGAATCTTGTAGAGCCACAAGTGTTATTTCACTCCATACTTCATACTATCAATTTTGTTTTCTAGAAAAATACGAATTTATTCTCAAGATCTTTGATCTCCTGGTTCCTGTGCCAGAAATGTGCTTTGATTGAACAGCATTTAAAAGATGCCACAACTTGCCAAGATACCACAATTTTTTTWAAAAAAGCCTTGACGAATACTTAGTGCTCACCTCATATGAATTATTGCCCAATTAAAATAAACAAACGTAAGATACTAAATAAAATAAATGAATAAATAAATAAATGGGATTTAACAGTTGCATTTCTACAGAGTAGCTATTCATCCCATGTAATTGCAATTGGAATTTAGGAGTTGATTTTTGATTTCTAGATACTAGACCTTGGCCTTTGGGAAAATCTTTCAATTTTTGTAAATCCCTAAAATCGTGCTTTGAAAATAGTTGCTTTAAGGCCTCTCTCTGTTTGTACGCCAAAGGGACCATTACCAACTTTTAGTGCAGTGTAGAAACTTCCAGAAAAGATTCCGCTAAAGTTTTCTTTTCAAAAAGATGACGGGTCATGATTTATGTGTTTCCTGCTCTCGACGACTCAGGAATAAAGAAAACCACTTTTTAGGGGGAAGCATTTGTCCTAGAATATTCGAAAGTAAACGATGTATTGATGAACTAAAAATCATATACATATATCTACTACGGGACAATAAACCCATCTAATGTGTCTTTGTAAATCTCATATGAGACTTGGTAGCTTAGTGGCTAGAGCACCGGAATCGCCAGGGCACTGGTTCAAATCCCGTTCAAGACTCAGAATTTTTTTTGAGTCTTATACTAATTAGCAGCTGCATAAGCTGCTTGATACACTGTGCAGATCATCTCAATTATTAGATACATTAATACCGCAGTACTGACAAATATATAGTCTATATATATTCTCATATGAAATCATTAGTTTATAACTTAAGTTAGTAATGTGGTTTTACTACATGTAAGCTGACATTGTACTGCAACGAGATGCTGGACCTTTTTCATAAACGAAGAAAGAGTGACTCTTTCCAATACATCTAATTTTTAGCCGCACTAAAATTAAAATCAAAATTTCAAATTTCAAGGGAATAAGCCAAACGTTTGGGTAGAGAAAGAAATGATGAAAGAAAGAAAAGAAATAACTTTGGGAAGTGAAGCTCTTCATGATATATACTCAACGTTGTATTTATTACAGAAAATATATTTGGTAATCATATATCCTTGCCTTGATCAAGCTAGATTTTTAAAGATATATTATTGCTATTGTCATTGATCCGTGTCAATTATGTCCAGTAGCTAGTCATAAAAAAGTTGCCCTGTTTAACTTGGATCTTGATCGTGTGCAAGGATTTTGTTTTTCGTTTGGCTTAATTTTACAAGCCTACTATAATTAGATGGCCAAAAAAATGTTTTCACATCGCATAACTAATACTTATTTATTGAGAAATCTGTTTGACAAAATAAAGCTATCGTTACGGCATTATCATTATCATCATTAATAATCTATTTGACAAAGTGTCAAGATGTATACTTCAAGCATTTTCGTAGTCTTTGCTCGACATACTTCAGAAAGGGAAAAAGGTAACGGTTTCTAAGTGGCGAACAAAAAGAGCAACACCTGTATCTCGTTGGCTACAGATTTCTAAACAATACCAGAAAGTTTTTAGCTCCCTTTTTGAAAGGATGCTGAGAGATTTAATAGTTTCTCTTAAACTCATAAGAAAATGGGCGGACCACAAGCAACACCAGATGATCATTTCAGTTTTTGTAAT